GGAAAACTCAGTTGAGGTGGTGAAGGAAGAAACATGTTGAAAGAAGCTGGAAGAAGGAACAAAAGATTGATTGCTTTAGGTGACACAGAGTAGACTTGCTCATCCTGCTACCCCAAGTAGTGATGAATGCTTACAATTCATTGCTATGAATTTCAAAGTTCATTGAGTGTGTGGCACCTGATAAGAGAGACTCGTTCTGCTTTGGCCAGTCTCTTTTTATTATAATTTTTAAGCATGTGTGTATTTGTGCACATGAGTACAGTGCTAAGAGTTTCATGCTGCTGTGAGCTGCCTGATGTGGGTTCTGGGAATCAAACTCAGGGCCTTTGGAAGAGTATTATATATTCTTAACTTCTGAGCCATCTCTTCAGCCCCTGGTCAGTCAAATTAAAGGCTTTTTGAAAATTTTATTTAAATCCTTTTTTAAAATTTAGTTTTATGGATTATTAGTAACATTTACTTATCTTTTTGCAGAAATATTCTTTGGTATAGATTTGTAAGAGATTTTCATAAATTGAGCTTCTAATCCTTTGTCACATATAAATGATTTATTTTGGTCTTCATGAGTCAGGGTCTCCTTGTAGCCCCAGCTGGACTGGAACTCACTATGTAGATGAGGCTGGCCTTGAACTCACAGAGATCTGCCTGCACCTGCCTCCCGAGTACTGAGATTAAAGGAGTGCACCACCACACTTGGCATATAAATGATTTTTCTTGTCTAAAAAATTATTAATTTTTATTTATGTAGATGTGTGTGCGTGCTTGTCTTTATGTGCATGCAGTACCTGCAGATGCCAGAAGAGTGTGTCAGATCGCTTGGCTTGTTACAGGTGGTTGTGAGCCACCAGGTATGGGTGTTGGGAACCAAGCCCAGGTCCAGATTTAAATTCTCATGTGCTTTGGTACCAGAACCTGTTACTCTGTGTGATGTGGAGTCTTTTGGGGGCCCTCAGTGCTAGGGGTATTTCTCAGGGCAGGATGATGGCCATACTCCTAGCATGACCAGATTTTCCCCTGCTAGACAGAGAACTAGTAAGGTCCTGGGGTAGACACAACACTGCTTCCTGCCCTGTGCACCCTGAAGGAGATACTGTTGAAGACCTGACTGTAGAGGTGAGGAAGTTTTCTTCTTGAGAGTAAGTGACAGATTTTTGAGGACTACAGATCAACATAACTCCTAGATCCCTGGAAGCAGCCACTTCTCTTGCCTCAGTTTCTTAGATGCTCCTGAGATTGACCTGGATGTTTAGCCAACCTCTCACATGGGTCCTGTCTCCCAGGAACTCTCCTGCCTTACATCCTTTCTTTCCTGGCGACCAAGACTCATGCCTGTAACTTTTTTTGTAAAATAGTTAGGTTGGTCAGTTTTCTAAAATACCTGAGATAAAGAACTTATATGAAGGTGAGATTAGCTTTAGCTCATGGTTGCAGAGGTTCCCGTCCCTGGGTGGTTATATCTTTTGCTTTTAGGGTCTGAGGCAGCAAATCATGGCTGGGAGTGTGTATCCTGGAGAATGGAAGAGGATGGACTGGGCTCTCAATATCTTCTTCAAGGCAATGCCCAGTCACCTAGTTTCCTTGAGTTTGGCTCCAGCTCCTAAAGGTCTACCACTTTGAAATAGCATGTAGACTTGGGGCCAAGCCTTGAACACAGGGCTCTGTGGTCATTAAAGATCTAGACTATATGTCAGTGACTGATGATATATAGGGGTGACTGATGCCTTTCACTAGGAACTGCTGTCCCACAATGGAGTCTCTCCAATATTAATAAGGTCATGTGCTGTAGAAGACTAGGGTAAGGGCACAATGGAGGAGGCAGTGTTAAAGCAAGATGGTAAGACATGGACAGAACTACTAGAAAGACACATTTTCATCTTCCCTGTCTTCAGGCCCAAGTCCAGAAGGGAATAAGGTCAAGGTCAAGTGTTTATTGTAGGGTTGACCATTCTGTGCGTGTGTGTGTGTGTGTGTGTGTGTGTGTGTGAGAGAGAGAGAGAGAGAGAGAGAGAGAGAGAGAGAGAGAGTGAGAGAGAGAGAGAGAGAGAGGAAGAGAGAGAGAGAGAGGTCAACTTTGGTTATCTCAGGGCAGGATGATGGAGGAGGAGTTGTCTACGTTGCTTTTTGAGACAGGGTCTCCTCACTGAGACCTGGGTCTTGTAGATTAGGCTAGACTGGCTAGCCATTGAGCCCCAGGGGTCTGTTTGTTTCTCCCTCCCCAGAGCCAGGACTACAGTGTATGCTAGCACACCCAGCTTTTTACACGGGTGCCTCAAACTGAGGTCTTTATGCTTTGGGATGCACTTTACCAACTGAGCAATCTTTTCAGCTCAGCACCCCCTATTCCTTCTAACACAGCCAAGAAAAGAAAGAAAAACTTTCCTTAAGAATACACTCATAGTTCTCCCTATCTCATAGAAAGGCCCTCCCTGCTCTAAGGGTAGATATGAATCCACCTATACTTTATGCCTGGGTGAGCAAAGCTCAGGCTTTATGGGGAGAATGAAGACCTGAACTCTGAATCATTTCTGTGTACCATGCTATCGTGGAGCCAGCATCAGGCATTGGAAAGACGGGAGTTGGGAAGCAGATGGGCTTGAGTTGAAACTAGTTTGTGCCCTTTCAAGGTAACATCCTCTAATCTGTTTTTCTATGTGTATAGTATAGATGCTCATGTTTCCCTCACAGGATGGTTATGAAGTTGAATTATACGAAAAGCCCCACAGTTCTGCTCTGGTGGAGAAATGCAGTCACGTGGGAGAGAGAGTGAACATACAAATATGATGCTAATGGGTTAATGTTGGTAGAGATTGCACAACATGCAGAACTGGGGCAGGAGAGGGGAAGTGGCTGCTGTACAGAATCAGGAAGAGGAATGGAGTTTCCGGGGTGTCTGGAGAGTGAAGGTATGGGGGCAAAGGGTCTCCCTGAGCAGAGAGGTTCGGCTGTTTGTAAGCTCATGCTGTGCTTGGAACTCATGTCCCCAGAAGGTGGAGCCCACAGTCCAACCTCAACCTAATGTGGGATGCAGCTTGCTAACTGTTCCTATTTCTAGATTCTGTCCCTTTGCCTTTGGGCCCCTTTGCTCTCTATTACTAGGCTAGTCCTTCACCCCAGCATGTCCATGCCTTTCACCTTTTGCTTTCTTGACTAAATCACACAGTTCACCACGTCTCAGCTTAAATGCTGCTTTCTTGGTGAAGCCTCTTCTCCCCTTAACTCCTGAGTCCCTTTATTTAAAATGTGTATAAGGCTGGAGCCAGTGACTGCACACCTACAGGTGTGCACCTCATACACCCAGTATTTGGGAGGTGGAAGCAGGAGAACTAGGAGTTCAAGGTCTTCCTTAGCTATATAGTGAGTTCAAAACCAGCCTGGGCTACATGAGACCCTATCTCAAAAACAAAACAAAACAAAACAAACAACAGTAACAAAAGATTTATTATCTTGGGACTGGAGAGATGGCTTAGTGGTTAAGAACATTGACTGCTCTTGCAGAGGACCCAGGTTCAACTCCCACACCTTCATGGTGGCTAATAACCATCCTAACTCCAGTCCCAGGGGATCCGATACCTTCTGACTTCCATGGGTATTGCACGACATGGGTACACTTACACAGAGGCAGGCAATACACTCATTCACTTAAAAAACAAAAATAAAATATTTTAAAAAGATTTTCTATCTTAAGCATTTGTAAATAGACAATTTGGTAGGGCTAAGTACATAGAAAATGCTATACAACCAATCTTCAGAATTTTTTATAACTTGTGAAACAGAAACTACCATTGAACAACTTCCCCTTCCCCTTCTCTCCAGCTCCTGGCACCCGCCATTCTACTTATGCTTCCTACTGTGAACACTGGTGGTATTTTCTGCAGCATTTGTGTTTTTGTGATGGTTTTCCTTCATCTGGTGTAAAGGCACCCTGGTCCATCCCCGTCCTTCCATTCTTGTCACAGGGGCCTTGTCTTGGCCTTTTCTGTCAGACTCATGTTGTAGTTGTAAAGTCATCTCAGAAGCTCCAAGTCTGCTTTGCACCCTCTGTTTGTCCTCTAGCTCAGCACATGGTGCGTAGTAGGAACTCTGTTGTTTTTTTGGTTTTGTTTTTTTTCTGGTCTTTTTGAGTATATAGTATATACCTGAAGTCCCAGCACTTGGAAAGTAGAGGCAGGAGGATCAGGAGTTCAAGGTCATCCTTAAAGTACAGTGAATTTGAGGCTAGCCTGAGACCAGCAACTCTCAAAAAGACACTTGTCAATGGTCAGTGAACTAGGATGACTACATTTGGGCTTTCTTTTTTCAGCATTTTATTTATTTATCTATTTTAGTTTTTATGAATGCTTTGCCTGTATATATGTAAGTGTACCACAGATGTGCAAATGCCTGTGGAGGCCAGAAGAAGGTATTGGATCCCCTGGAACTAGAGTTAGAGATGGTTGTTAGCCACCATATGGGTGTTGGGACCAAATCCGGATTCTCTGAAGAACAACCAGTGTCCTTAACTGCTGAGCCATCTCTCCAGCCCCACATCTAGACTTTTTTTCTGTTTGGTTTTGTTGTTCTTTTTGAGACAGGGTCTCCCTGCTGTAGCCCAGCTGACCTGGAACTCTTGTGTAGACCAGGCTGGCCTTGAACTCACAGAGATCTGCCTGCCTCTGCCTCCCAAGTGCTAGGATTAAAGGCACACACCACCACACCCAGCACGTCTGGACTTTCTAAGCAGTGTCTCCAAATAAGGCCACATTCACAGGTCCTGGGAGTTGGGATAGAAACATATCTTTTTGGGAGCTACAATTCAACTATACCCTGTAAGGATTCTGTCCCTTTTGACCACACATCACACTTTTTATCGTTTTAGGTAGCTGCCAGGGACTGGAAAGAGAGGGGAATGGGAAACTATTCAATGGTAGTTTCAGTTTCACAAGTTGAATAGAGTTCTGGGGACTGTGGGAGACTCTAATGTGGAAGTTTGATGTCACTAGTATTTATATCTTATTTTTCAGATTGAATTCATCCTATGCTGAAGATGTTTCCAGAACAACAGAAGGAGGTAAGTCACCACAAATCTGAAAATTACCCATGCATTTTCGCTAATTGCAGATTAGTTCAAGCACTAACCATAAGCCAAGGACATCCCAGTGGAGGGCTGATAGAAGACAGAATACCTGCTCTCCTGCTATGATAATTCTGTCCCCACTATATAGGCCTATTCATGGCCTTCAGTTTCTGGTTCCTGTGACTCAGCTATAGAGCACTCTGTGGCTTGTCAAAAGCATCTCCTCCTGGGACTCAGAATTATCCCAGATTCTGCCTCCAACTGTCTGCCTAACCACCTCTCTCTGGTCTGTTCCCTTGGTTTTCTACTCCATTGACTCATCACTGACTATTCCCAGCTTTGAATGATGGTCTGTTATTAGTTACAGGTCTGTCCCTAGTTATTTTTTGTTTGTTTTCCACACAACTCAAGCAAGGCTGTCCTTTCCTGACTGCAGCCTGGGCTTATAAGCCTCCAAAGCCCAGCTACCTGGGCTTCCATCTGGGGTGGAGCTAATGTAGTTTGCTCTTTGCTGTCCACAGGAGATTGGTTCTAGAAACATTCTCCTACCCCATAGATACCATGGCCTAAGGATGCTAAAGCTCCTTACATAAAATGTGTGTTTGCATGTAACTTGCCCAATCCTCCTGTGTACGTACTTGGAGTCTCAAGTAGCCCATGCTGGCCTTGAACTCCCTAAGCAGCCAAGACTGGGCTTGAACTTCTGATCCTCTTGCTTCCAAAACCCAAAGGTTGGGATTGAAGGTATGTGGTATCATGCCCAGCCTTCTATATACTTTAAATCATCTCCAGATGACTTAAAATGCCAAATGCAATGCAAATGCCATGTTAATAGTTATATTGTTTAGGGGGAAATGATTAGGAAAAAGTCTGTATATGTCTATTACAGATGCAAATTTTTCTTTTCAAAACTTTTAGTTTTGTTTCTTAAAATAGGGTCTCATTTTGTAGCCTCACTATGTAGCCCAAGCTGGCCTTGAACTTCTGCCTCAGACCACCTTTCTTTTTTTTCTTTTCTTTTTCCTGTTTTTGCTTTTTTTTTGTCTTTTTTGTCTTTTTGAGACAGAGTCTTCCTGTAGCCCCAGGTGGCCTGGAACTCACTATGTAGACCAGGCTGGCCTCGAACTCAGGAACTCAGAGATCTGCCTGCTTGCTGTGCCACCTGCTTGCTGTGCCACCACGCCTGGCTGACTACCTTTCTTATAAATAATTATATAAGAGTATTATATCATTGGGGCTGGAGAGATGGCTCAGTGGTTAAGAGCACTGACTGCTCTTGCAGAGGACCCAGGTTTGAGTCCCAGCACCCACATGGTGGCTATGAACCGTCCTTAACTCCAGTTCCAGGGGAATCCGAAGCCCTCTTCTGACCTCTGTGGCATTGCATGACACGAGTGCACTCACATACATTTAGGCAATACACTCATACACATAAAAAATAAAAAATAATAAAATATTTTTGAAAAAGAGTATTATATCATTAAGGAATTTTTTTGGAGCTTGAGGACAATTTGATTAAAGAAAAAAAAAATCTCCGCAGTCAAGTTGTAAATCTCAGTAGCTGCCTGGAGAAGGAGAATGGAGGAGAGAAGGGAAAAGGCCTGTGCCATTTGAGTTAAGCTGCCATGTGGGTCAGCCACATAGAGGTAGGTAGCCATCTGATGGGGAGGGGAGCTTTAGAGATAGATTGAAGCCCAAAGAGTTAGGGAAAGCATGCTTAGAAAAAAAGATAGAGCCGGGCGTGGTGGTGCACACCTTTAATCCCAGCCCTTTGGAGGCAGAGGGAGGCTGATCTCTGTGAGTTCAAGGCCAGCCTGATCTACATAGTGAGTTCCAGGACAACTGGGACTACAGGGAGACCCTGTCTCAAAAAGACCCCCCCCCAAAAAAAAGATAGAGAAGGAAAAGTTAATTTTCTGAAGCCACAGGTCTGTGACCCTGTAAGCTACTGTGTTGGGGGTGGGGGTAGGGGGTGCAAATTCTGGGAAGAAAAGTACATTATCTCATTAAAGAGATAGTTATTCCACTTATCTAGTGATTATTGCACCTTCCTGATGTATGGGTCCTCGGTCAGGTGATTGACTCTGCCCAACTGGAATGTTAGGTCTCTATCCAGGCCAGAGATTCCAATCTCTTGACCAGAAGGAAATATTTTTCCTTTAACCATTAAGGATTTTTTTTTTTTGGTCTTTTTGAGATAGGGTTTTCCTGTAGCTCCAGCTGGTCTGGAACTCAAGAGATTGGCCTGCCTCTGCTGGGACTAAAGGCACCATGCCTGACTACCATTAAGGAATTTTAAGATAGCAATTCCTTTAAATTCTCCTCCAAAGGAGAAAAGATATATTGCAAATAGATAGAGATATAATGTTAATTTAGTTTAGTTTCTGTCAGCAAGAAATAAACATATCAAAGGGAGATCCTACACATACTGTAGTATAGTAACATTTGATTGATCATCAGCTATCTATTTTCCACATGTACCTGGAATGCTCTGGCTTCTAAGCCATTGCTCTTAGAGCAGAGCCAGAGCTCCTGCATGTGGCTTCTAGGTACCTGTAGGTTATTCTCCATACTTCCCACCTCTCCCTGACTCTAGGGAACTTCTCACTCCTTGTTTCTGAGTTAGTTTGGAACCTTGACTACAATCTTGTCCCTGGATCATTTCAGTTGTTGCCCTCCTGCCTGGAGTCAGCCCTTCCCTTGCTAGCATCCCATGCTGAAAGGGGCTAGTGCCTCCTATTCCTTCAGGTCTCAGTTGGGGATCAAAAAGATGCTTCCACACTGGGGAGACTAAGGCAGGCAGATCTGTGAGTTCAAGGCCAGCTTGGCCTTACATAGTGAATTCCAGGCTAGCCAGGGATACATAGTGAGACCTTGTCTCAAAAAACAAACAAAACAAAAACAAAAAAAGATGCTTCTTACAGCCTCATTTTCAAAAGGCATTTTCATCTTTTTGCCTGCTCCCAAAACAAACACCCTGTAGTCAATGCCATATAGAGGTAGCAAAGTTCATGAAGCCTAGTGACTGGCTATTGCTTATTTTAAAATAAGTCAAGATCCCCCTAATTGTGCATGTAAGGGACAAATGCACTATCACTGATTGTTCTAGAAGCTAAGCCAAGGATGCATTGTTTGTGTAAGCACTTTCCAGTTGGTGCCCATAGATAGCAGTCATTACTAATTAATCATGAGGTTGGTATGTAGATTAAGATGTATTTGCTATCTTTGTTTGGGATACAGATGGCCAGGAGCGAAATCTTGTTTCTACAGAGCTGGTAGTGCCAGCCTCAAAGTTTGGTAATATATATTTTTTTAAGATTTGGGAAATGCAGTCTCTCTTGTTAAAGCAGCTTTATTACTGCAATAAATCTAGCAAGAGGAGAAAAGAGAGCGAGAATCTCCCTTGTTAGTTAAACATGGTCCATTTGCACATTGGTTTCAATCCCCAGGAGAGCAGTATCTGAGCTGATGGATCGTCCCATAAAAAGGCCTTGGCATTGGGCCATTGTAAAATTAAAATGAATTCAGACTCATTCATGCATGCAACTTTAATTTACAATTAAAATATTATGGTTACATATTTTAATAAGAATAATTAGACAGACCCAACTGAATCAACTCTTGTGTTTAATGAGACAGAACCCAGAATGCAAATGGAAAGGCAGGTGGGTGTGACAGGAGACCCGAAGCAGACAGCATCTTTTGTGGAGTCAGGCATTTTTGCTCATTTTATGTTCTAATGTCCAGAATGAGTAGTTTGATTTCTTTGCATCTCTAAGGACCTTTGCCCCTAACCATGTTGAAACTTGTCTTCCGAAGCCCGGGAGAAAGCAACTTCCTCCTGCAGGACACATTCTGTTTCATGGAGTCTTGAACCTCTTAAGCTGCTGCTCCCCCTTGAAGACACTGGGCTTCTTCAGTAGCTGGTATAACTGGAACATTCTTTCGTGATGAGACCTGAAGCATGGGTGGAAGCCCCTTTTGTCTGTCTGAGTATACATATATGCCTAGCTTTCTATTTCCTGGATCATGAAAGCTGTCTTCTCCCTTTAGAGACATACCTTAAGGATAAGAAATTTTGTTCTTTATAATGCTCATACTTCACCATGGGGAGTAATAGGCAAACACCAGTTATTGGCACTTGGGTGATGATAAATCCATGAGCTCTTTGGCTGGCTATACCCAGGGTAGGGCAGGCCCAAATGCCCCAGGAGAGTTCCATGGGCAACCAGGACCCCACACACAGGGAGGAAGCAGGGTGCTACAGGGAGATGGGAGGGACTTGTTGCCATTTTGGATGAATAGCCTTTAGTACGTGTTAATTTGTTCAAGATATGCTAATGCTGGCCAGTGGTAACATTTTGGACTTGCTCTAAGAAAAGGTGGTGGGTTTGTATACTTCGATTTTTGAGACAAATTCTCACTGTGTAGGCCAGGCTGACCTTGAAATCACTATTTAGTCCGGGGAAGCCGCCAACTCATGGTGATCCTTTTGCCTCAGCCTCCTAAGTGCTCAGATTACAGGTTCAGATCGCTATACCCAGTTTGGTGTTTATTTTTATTTGTGTTTTTGCAATGCTAAGATTGACAAGCATGTAGACAAGCACGCTACCACTGTGCTATATTGCCACACCTGAAAACATGAGGGTGTCTTGATATTGGGCTACTGATTGGAAATGGACTAGGCTTTGAATTAATGAATATCATTAAAGATAGAAACTATTGCCTGGTGTCTTGTGACCCTGGGGCCTTTGGCCCTCCCTCAAATCTAAATTTGTTATTCTCTTTTCCTTCTTCCTTTCTTATTCCCTCACCCTGCTTCTCCTTAAAATTTTTTTTTTTTTTATTTTGGGGGCTGGAGAAATGCTTTGTGTTTGAGAGCACTGGCTGCTCTTCCAGAGGGCTTGGGTTTAGATCCCAGCATCCATATATGGAGGTTAACAACCCTCTGTAAACTCCAGTTCCAGGTGATCCAATGCCCTCTTCTAGCCTCT